CTGCACCGGGGGCCGTCGGGGGCCCGGGCCAGCTGGTCGCCTTCAGGCTTGCCTCGGGCCGCCGTCGCGCCCGTCGTTGTTAGCCCGGGGACGCGGACCTTCGTTAGACTCCAGCCGATTGCGAAAACCGAGGGTCCTTCCATGGGAACGGGAAACAGCCTTTCTCTCTCTCGAGCTCTGCAAACTCTGGACAGGGGCGGCTTAACTTTCATGGAGACCTAGTCTGGCAGTTGTTAAATGGGAATAATAATACTTGCATTACTCTTCCTGGCCTGGGTAGGATGTCTGTGCGTAATACTGTCACTCGCAGTAAAGTATTGGGTACCTATTACCGAGATTTGTTTCCTGGAAATCTTTTTCTCAATATGAGCAAGACTGGGGAATCTCACATTTGACTTTATTTTTAAGTCTAAGCATCTGCTTTAAGTGAAGAAAATGTGTATGTATTTAAGGATTATTCTGGATAACTTGCCACAAGTTTGTGTCATGCGTTAAAGAAAGGCCTTGGGGTACCTACCATGTGCCCCGAGGAAAGAATCTCTGAAGCGACTTACAGTCATAACATCCGGATAGCTCAGTATTAAACTTCTTCAAGTTTCTCAGTTGAGGAACTTGGAAATAAACATTTTGGAAGAACTTAGGATTTTTCTTTCTGTTTTGTTTGAGATAAAATTCATTGTTTTTAACCATTTTCAAGTGTACAGTTCCGTGCATTTTAGTATGTTTGTAGTGTTGTGCAACCATTATCACTAATTCCAGAATATGTTCATCACTCTCAAAGGACACCCATTGGGTGTCCATTAAACACTCGCTGCCCATTCCCACTCCCCCCAGCAAACACTAATCTACTTTCTGTATGTGGCCCTTTGCTTTTTGGCTTCTTTCACTTAGCAGATGTTTTCAAGTTCATCTATGGTATAGCTTGTATTTTTATGGCCGAATAATTTTCCATTGTATAGATAAGCCCCATTTTTTTTATCAAGTCATCAGTGGGCATTTGGATTATTTACATTTTCTGGCCATTATGAACAATGCTGCTGCTATGAATACTTGTGTACAGCTTTTTATTTGGACACATATTTTCAGTTCTCTGGAGTATATACACTTAGGAGTGGAATTGCAGGTTCATATGGTAACTGAGAAACTGCTAAACTTTCCAAAGTGGCCGCACCATTTTGTTCCCACAAACAGGATCTGAAGGTTCGGATTTCTGTACATCCTCATCAACACTTATTTTCTGGGTGTTTTTTGTTATTGATGTGAGCCTTCCTAGTGGGTGTGAAGTGGTATCATTGTGGTTCTGATTTGCATTTCCTTACTGACTAATGAGGCTGCATCTTCCCATGTGCTTGGTGGCCATTTGTATATTTTTAGAGAAATGTGTGTTCAAGTCCTTTGCCCATTTTGGGGCACTTTGATTTTAATGCCTCCTAGTGAAGAATTTGAAATTAGATTAGAAAATAAAGCTTGAATATGTTTATGGATGGAGATGAAAGGGATATGTGATTTTGCATAAGGAAAACAATGAATGCCAAGATAAATTAGATGAAAAACTGCTGTATTTAAGACATCTTTTGACTGTAAGATTAAAGATCAATTTCACTGGTTTCGGGTCTGCAGGTAACAGAATTGAGGAATACCTAAAACAAGGCCTGCTCTAGGTTGCTTCAGACTTTAGATACCGTAGGCTTGTAGTACCTGAGAGCCAAAACTGGCTGTGAAGAGGGCCTGGGCATCCCTTAGTTCTCAGAGTTCTTTCTTGAGTCTAGCAGAAAGGATTCCTATTCTAGTCAAGAAGTAAAAAACCTCTTGTTTAGACTTGATACTTTTCTTTTAAACTAAATCTTTACTGTAGGAACAAATGTAATTTTACATTTCAGTATTTTTATCATGTTGGTGTTAGAATCAGTGTTAAATTTTTAAACCGTTATAATAATAATTGCTATGAGCTAAAAAGCACCTTGGTTCTATGCTACAAAGATGAGTTTGCAATTTTCTGTCTTAGCAATGTGAGTTCGGAGCAGGTGTAGAGTATGGACTGCAGAATGGGCACAGTTGGACTTTTTTTTTACCATGTTATCAGTTACAGATGGTGAAGCAAGGGCATCTGATTTGAATGAGATAACAAAAGACCTGAGTAAAAGAAAACATTACTTTTTCTGTTACTGCATTTTATAAGACTTAAGAAACAAAGATTTTCAAACTCAAGCATTTAAAGATGTTTATGTTGCTGCTTTTATATGATCTCGGGCTATAATGTAAGTATCTTTCTGTCAAATTGCTAGAATGAGGACAGAATGTAAAATTAAGAAAAATGAATTCCTTTCCATTTGCAATATGTCAGGATAACTGAGGGAAAATTTTTTAGTCCGTTAATTTTCTAACAGTGTCTTTACCTCTTGAACTTCATAAAATGTTGGCTCTACTTCTAGAATGTAAAAGTGGACTTCAGTAGGAGAAGTCCTGGCATGAAGAAAGAACAGGTGGCTTTTTCAGTGATCCAAGAGTATGTTGGGGTGTCTGCCCAGAATTTTTCTTTCCACTGTGCAACCAAGTCCCAGACTTTGGACTGTAAGATTAAACTCCGAGCTTCAGAACGTGACTTTTTCTTAGAGGCAGAAATATGTCTTTTTATATCTTTCGTCTTAAAAATTCAAACTTTTTAATGTGTAACCTTTGGGTATTTGGTGTAGGAAGATCAGTGAGGAATAATCGCTGACAGAGAGTAAATTACTCAGTGAAGTTGCTGTTGGATTTCACCACACTCATCATGTAGTCACTCATCTTTTTTAAGATTTTAAAAATTCCTAATGTGTGATGACTAGCATTGGCTGTTATGAGAAAATTCATAAATTCCTTAAAAAAAAATTTCTTCGTCTGTGTTTATAAATCACAGAAACATCTCGTAAATAAAATGTTCTACAGCAAAGGCAAATAACAGTGTACCAAACTGGAAAATTTAGGCTTGATTACCTATTATTACTTTGAGATTGTTAAATTTTCCTTTAAAAAAAAAAGGAAGCCTGAGTTATTTACAATTCAGTAGAAGAAAGAATCCAGGTTGCAGCCTAACCTTAGAACATTTAAATAAACCTCTTAATTCTTAGCTTTTATATCAGTAACTGAAAGGACCAATAGGCACAACATCAAACTATTATCTTGTTTATCATACCTAACTTATCTTTTAACACAGCTACAGAAAGATCTAGAAGAGGTGAAGGTGCTCCTGGAAAAGACCACTAGAAAGAGAGTACGTGATGCCCTTACAAGTGAAAAATCCAAGATTGAGACAGAAATCAAGAACAAGATGCAGCAGAAATCACAGAGGAAAGCAGAACTTGACAATGAAAAGCCAGCTGCTGTGGTTGCTCCCATTACAACAGGATATACAGTGAAAATCAGCAATTACGGTATGACTCGTCCCCTCCATCCAGCTCTCTCTGTGCCTCTGACCAACCGATTTCTCATAGTGACCAATTAACAGACTTAAAAATAGTTTTGAGTGTTTTTAGTAATTTGAGAGAGAGGACCTATCACTCATTTAATTAGATCCTTTTTAAGAGACAAGAAAGGAAAGGATACATTCTAGAGACTAGTAACGAGAGCAAAATGATTTAGTGTAGTGATGAGTAGCAACAAGAAGGAACCTATTCTGAAATAGTCAGCTTTTTGTTTTATTTTTCATCCTGTTTTGTGTTTCACTTTGCCATACAACCACCAATATTAACTGAGGAATTCAGGAAACATGTTTGTGTACCTAGTATGTGCCACTGTGCCCGTGGACTTGTGAATGCATAACAGTGACCAGGACCCAATCCCTGCTCATGGTGTGTTCGGGGCACAGATGTAACTAATACCATAACAATTTAACAGTACCACTTTCCCTTAATAGATTGTAAACATTTTGGTTTGAGAAGTAGTGCAACTCAATCTGAGCGATGAGCTCTTACGAGGGTAGGGACAGTCTTACGTTTCATTTTGCTCACAATATCTAGCACATAATTAGTACGTAATAGGTACTTAACTGAATAGAGATTTATAAGTATTATGGGAACATACCTGATGAAGTAATTTTAGAGGTGAGGAACAGGGAGAATTAGAAGAGATATTTAAGTTTGAGTTTGAAGGGTGAGTTCACCAGGTGTGAAAAAAGGAAAGGAATCACATGAGCAAAGGACACGGATAGAGACATGAAAAGCGTGTATTTTGAAAAGCAATGTGTGTGTCGTGCTTAAGAGAGATACTGTAATCCTATAGGAGTTATGCTGTGTACTTGGTTGATACAGGAAACTGGTCTGAAGGTGGTAGGATTACGGCATATCAACCGGGAACCTAGATTTGTGTTTAGGAGAAACTTAGCAAAGTGGAGGATAGATTGAATGAATGAGAAGAAACTAGATAAAGTTCTACAGAACTCTGTAGGCTTCTATTTTTGGATTAACACTACATTTTATTCTATAGGATTAATGAAGTGTCAGGGATACATATATACAATAAATATGTATGTTTTTATACAGTGTGCTTTTTATGTGTTGACAAGATTCATCTAGGTTAGAGACTAAATAGTTTGATAATATATACCGAAATGGTATTTAGTAGATATTGGGAGGTTAGTCATATTAGCAGATCTGGATGAATTGGACTTTTTATATTCTACTTTGCCAGAGAAGCAAATTGAAGCTAGGATTGGTTGTGTTTGTTGAACTACTTAGAGAAGTAGAAATGATTATGGAATTAGACAATACCGATATTTAACCCAGGTTAGTGGAAGATTACTAGTATTCAGGTATAGGACAAAATTATTTCCACAAAAAGGGGAAACGAAGTGTAACTAAAGAAGTATCTAACAGTCATATTCCTTATTCTAAGGAATAAAAAGAACATGGGCTTTGTGTTCACAAAACCTGGATTTGAATCCAAGTTCTGCCACTAGCTAGATGCTTAACTTTGGATAGATAACTGCTTTGAAGCTCAATTTCTCCATCTAGAAAATTTTCTTATATTTTAATTTTTGTCATGTTTCTATTACTGGATTTTCATTTTACCGACTTATATCATGAGCCATATGCATTTGCTGTTCTAGAGGTAGTATCAGACTTATGTCCCATTTTTTGTTTCTGTTATTAGGATGGGACCAATCAGATAAGTTCGTGAAAATCTATATTACCTTAACTGGAGTTCATCAGGTCCCCACTGAGAATGTGCAGGTGCATTTCACAGAGAGGTGAGTTCTTACTATGGGGAAGGCAGTGATCATTAAGTTAGAGATTGCTTTGTTATGGGCTCTTTTCTTCGCAGATTCTAAAATTCTGCTTAAATTTAGAATTACCCTTTACTCTCCCTTCGAAGGGGTGAGTCTTAGTATCTGGGATGGCCAAATGCTCATCCTAAAAAAAAACTGGTGGCTTTTTCCCACAAGAACTAGAGAGCAGAAAAGTTAATATATTTGCTAATGTGTTGTAGGTCATTTGATCTTTTGGTAAAGAATCTAAATGGGAAGAGTTACTCCATGATTGTGAATAATCTCTTGAAACCCATCTCTGTGGAAGGCAGTTCAAAAAAAGTAAGTTTTTTTTTGTCATATTGTGGAACCTCATTAAATTGAACCTGGCCAATTTAAAATTGAGATGAACTAGAATTTATCCTCTATAACAGGGATTAGCAAATCTACAGCCAGTTGCTTATTTTGTAAATAAAGTTTTATTCGAACATAGCCATGCTCATTTATGTGTGTGTTCTTCGTGGCTGCTTTTGTGCTACAATGGCAGAGTTAAGTAGCTGCGACAGACCATATGGCCCACAACGCCTAAAATATTGATTATCTGGCCCTTTACAGAAAAAATTTTGCCACCTCCTGCTCTAGAATAATATTGCATTAAAATTAGTAGGGGAATAAGCTTTTAAAATGGTTAAGAGTGAGATGAGTTTTAATGCCAGTTTTGCCACTTACTGGTTGTGACCTTTTGGCAGCTCACTTAATAACTCTGTGTCTCAGTTTCCTCGTTTGTACAATGGGAATAATAATATATTTCACAAAGTTGAAATGATATACTGAAATGAAACATATACAAAGTGTTTAAATCAATGGTAGCTATTAGACACTGTGTTTTTGACACATGAAAGGATTTAAGTACTTAGCCTAGTTGGAGTTGGTGAAACTATAAAAAAAAAGTTTATTTTAAAAACTGTAATTCATACTTTTCACTAATTAGGTAGTCCCTCTTCCTAATTTAAATGAGGTCTAATGCATTTGGTATAGAGACATGCCATTCTGCCATCTGTGTTTACATAAAATTATGTAGAAGCTTAGAGGTGGTATTAGAATATAATTTCCTGATAAGCTTGTGTTTCACTGCCCCCTTTTCATCCACTGATTCCATGATTAAAGGGTTACTCAGAAGACTCCTAGGTGTTCCATGGGTCCCTGTTGAAAGAGTTGTATATTCTTGTTCTTTCTTTCTCACCTTCCAGACTCATTACCGATACTGCCTTATATGACTGGATTTTCTGCCTGTCTTACTCCTCTTCCTATATTACTCTCTCCTTGACCAAAATCCAGCCATTTTTCCTTTTTTTCAAACACACTAAAGTCATTCCATCTTGGAGCCTTTCTCTTTGCTGTGCCAACTACCTCGAAGGCTCTTTTCTCCTGGATCGTGGGCCACTGCTCAGAGTGTACCTCAGAGAGGCCTTCCTAATAGAATTCCTTCTCCAGCCCCCATTAGCATCCACTTTGTCTTGAGAGCACTTACTATTGGAGATACTGTAGTGTACCTGTTGTGGTTTTTCTCCTCCGTGAGCGTTCAGACTGTGGCCTATTTATAAAGCTATCATCAGCACTTAAAACAGGTCCTATGCATAATAGCAACTCAGTTAAGTGTGTAAATAATTGTTTTTTAAATATTCAGACTTATCTCCACATGTTCTAAGTTGTACTTGTTTTCCTGCTTTTATTCCAGGTCAAGACAGATTCGGTGATTATCTTATGTAGAAAGAAAGTGGAAAACACACGGTGGGACTACCTGACTCAGGTTGAAAAAGAATGCAGAGAGAAAGAGTGAGTTCACTTTCATTTGTTTAAGAAATTTAGTATATTCTTTGCTGGGATTATAGATTTTTAGTAATTTTTCTTTATGGATAACAGTTATATATTCTGTAATTTGACCATTTCCCTCTTAACGTCCACTGCTAAACTGATTATCTTACCATCTGCTTCCAGCCATCATAGCCTACCTGAAGTGTCCAGTAACTTGCTTTTTCAGGAGGTCACTAGCTTTGGTTGGCTCTTTCATACTGGTTAACCTTGGGCCAGTGCTTCTGCTCTGGAGATGCTGTGTCCATTCCCAGAGATTCCATTTCAGTGGTTTCAGAAAGGCCCATGTTTGGTTTTTGAATTCTATAGAAATTTCTGATAATGTCGTTTCAGAGTTTCGTTGTCTCTGCTATAAAGTGGAAAGATATTATGTTTTTATCCTACTTAATAATGGCTACTGTAAAAATTTTTATTCAAAACCACTTCCATTCTAGGTCACGCATTGCTCTACTTTAAATTTTCTGCAGCGGTAATGTGCTACGTTGAGTCAGTTACCACCCGCCTTTCTCTAACTCCTTGTCCTGTAGTCAGTATGCATTTGGGCTATGGTTGGCTGGAGTTAGGCATTGTCTATGGAATAGATTTTAAATCTAGAATAATTACTTGAGTACAGGACCCTGTCTTCCTCTAGTTGTATATCCCCAGTACCCAGTACATAACCTGGCACTTAATAAATGAGGTGAGTGAAGAATTAAATGTAAAGCCAATTGCCCCAGTTTGGACATTGATTGAACTAGCAGTATTGACTACATTAAGGACTAGGCGCAGATCTATATACCTCAGGCTTAAGAGGAGGGCTTTTCTAATTAAAAAAATGCATGAACTCTAAGATGTGTCCATGTGTAATGTATGTTAGTGTTTTTCTTTCAGCGTATTTTTTTGAATAATATGGGGAAACGTATTCTTAAAAAATTAAGACAGTTCAGAAAAGTAAATGCTTATTTACGTACTTTTCGGCTAAAAATCACCTAAAATCCCACTGTAACCCCTAACCATTTTGATGACCACTCTTTCGTGTGCTAAGTCTGGATGTTTGTTGTTTTCATTAAGATGAATGTGTGCATGCTATTTTAAATGTGAATATCTTTGGATACTCTATATTTTTCCCTTATCTCCACTCCTTCACTTTCCACTGACGTTAACCTGATTTGTGTTTTTCCATGCTTAGTAGTCATGCATATAAAATTTGTCAGTAAATAGGAACATTTATATATACACATATTTCCCCATTTATATAGATATATTTCTCAATTATTGTGTTTTCTTTTTAATAGAAAGCCTTCCTATGATACTGAAACAGATCCTAGTGAGGGATTGATGAATGTTCTAAAGAAAATTTATGAGGATGGAGATGATGACATGAAGCGAACCATCAATAAAGCCTGGGTAGAATCAAGAGAGAAGCAAGCCAAAGGAGACACAGAATTTTGAGCCTTTAAAGTCCTTTTGGGAACTGTGATGTGGAAATATTGATGTTTCCAGTAAGGACATGTTGGTGAGCTACACAGATAAGTTTAACAGATATCTTTACAGAACCTTCTTCTAGATGAAGGCAGTGAATTCTCCATTTCCCACTGGAAGATTTATTTAAATAAAATATGCTTATTAAACACTTCCTCCAAAGATGGTTTCCTTAGTAACCTGGTGATTTTGTTCAAGAAGGGATAATATTGCATACTCTGTGAAATGTAAAGAAGCAGATCATACCTAATGAAAATGCCACACTGTGTATTTTTGTTCAGCTAAAAGTTAACAAAAATTATTGCGTGTTTTTAAGTTCCTGACATCAGTTCTCACCAATGTAAGAATAAGTAAAAAATAAAACCTGAATTTTTACATAAAATGCAAATTCGTATTTGTGCTTCAAGGTTGCTGTAGAGAGGTTGATCTCTTTTCTGTTAACAGCTTAAGTAAATCGTATACATTGCCCTGATACTCTAATCACAAATGTTTTTCTCCAGGTTTAACTATATTTGTTTAGGATTAAACTCAAACGAAACCTAATTTTGACAAGAGTAGACATCTTTATATAGTACTAATTAGTAAGTTTTGCCATAGATCAGATAGCCTACAGAAGCAATAACCATAAACCAAAAACAAATGTGAAAATCCATCTATTCCTATGTTCAATAAAGTTAGGTTTTTATTCTGTAGAATAGCTTTACTATCTGTCCAGGAAAAGTCAGGCTTTAAGGGGTCAAATTGTTTATTTTAGAGGGAATTACTTCCCCTATGATCTCCATTACTGTTACTACATTGTATTAGAGATATTTGCCAGTGCAGCTTAGATAAGAGAAAGCAATTAAACACATAGAGGAAAAATCCAAGAAGATTAACCCAAGCTACTATAATTGATAAGAGAATTTAGTTAAAGTGGTAGAATAAAATTTGGTAGGTAGCATTTAAAATTAAGCTAAAGAAACAGCCTGTATAGGATAGCTATTAACTAAATACTGAACACATCATTAAACCTCTGTAATTAAAGCTGTGATGTTGGCATATGAGTAAACAGGCCAGTGGGACAAAATAGAAGACCCAAGGCATACGGAAGTTTTATTGTGCTTCGCTTTATTGCGCTTCACAGGTGTATTTTTTACAAACTGAAGGCAAGACCCTCCACCAACAAAAAGATTACAACTCGCTTTATTGCGACACTCGCTTTATTATGTGGTCTGGAACTGAGCCCGCGATATCTCCAAGGTATGCCTGCAATAGCATTTCAAAACGGGGCGGGGGGAGAGATTGGCTTTTATTGATATATTGAGATAACTGAAAATAACCACTTGGGTACATTCCAAACAGATCAGAGATCTAAATGTAAAAATGAGGGCATGAGCACTGGAAGACGTGGGTAGAACTCCATTATAACCCAAGAGTATGTGGAAACTAGACTATGTCTTAAAATCTACACATAATAAGGCTAAATATTGGTCATCTTAACTATATAATGTTTACATGGCAAAACCCTATGTAAATAACCAAAAACATGACACATCGAGAGGATTTCAAAATTATGAACAAACAATTCACAGAAAAAGAAATATAAGTGAACTTTTAACAAAATGTTCACCTCGTTCAGAAGAGAAATAAACACTTTTTTACCTTTTATTGGAGAAACTCCAAATTTTAACATGTTTGTTGAGAGTGTAGGTAAAAACATATGGGAATGGAATGAAAAGGTTGAGAAAGTTAAAACTTGTAAGGTAATTGGTAATCTCTATCACAGTTACATGTGCATTTATCTTCCGACTCACAGTTCTAAGCTCTTTCCCCGAATGTAACACTGGCAAAAATTTGGAATGATATGCAAAAGATTGGAAACACCCAAATGTCAATTAATAGAAGACTAGCTGAATCCTCTATGGTACAAGTACTTACAGTCACAAAAAGAAAAGATTATTTTGTATACTGGTGTCGAAAGACCACCAAGATGTAAGTGGAAAAGCAAAGTGCAGAATGTGGTTCATGGTGCATTTCGACAACCTTAGTGTTGGGTGGAAATGCAGATACACACGTTTGTGTATTTACTTCTGTAAATACACTGGAAAAAGAAAAACTGGAAAAAGTAAACCCAAAACTAATAACGGTTACCAAATGGGGGAGGAAAGAGGCAGGGTGGAAGCAATGGTTTTGTGAATGTACCTTTTTCTTTACTTTTTACTTAAGAACCATCTAAAATTTAAAAGAAAAGATAAACCTAAAATGTGAAAACAGACTTAACATATCAAGTTGTTAAAAACATGTTACTTTTAGGTGACTTTTGAAGATGGTATTTTGACTGTCCATCAGTAGTGAGATGAGTCTAAGGACAAAAAAACTATAGAAATTTTACACTGCAGTCACTAGCATTGGTAAAATCAGTGTATTGAAACTTTTATGTGTTATACGGTAAAGGTAATAATTAGGTTGATGTCATTAAGAGCTAAGAATATAAACTTACCATTTTTTATCTTGAAAAAATAGAGCCTAGCAAGTCCCACTAAAAGGTCCGAAAAGCTAAAAGCAGTGACAGTTCAGATTTCCGTAGTGATGAGCAGCACCTTCAGTGCTCAGATGTGGTCTCTCCACGCCATTTCCTACTAAAGGACCAGGGATTTGAAAAAACGTCTGAGGCAGAAAACATACAAGAGAAGCTAAGGTCATCTTATGGCAGAAACTGAGGGAAGATCAGGTGTCCTCTATCCTGTCAACATGACAAAGGACCCAGCAGGGAGGATTAGTTTGACCATCAAAATGTCTGGAGTAGATTGTGGCATAAGAGAAAATCTGCACGTTCATACTGATAGTAAACAATCACTTGTTCCCTTTGGAAGTTGCTAGAGCACCAGCTCATTTACTCTGAAAATTGGTAGGAAATCATACATTTATCTGGTCTTTGTTGTAAGAAACATTTCAGAGAAATTGTTGATAAGGGCAAGTTCCTTACAGAAAAATTCCAGCTAATGCAGAAAAATGATGGCATTTAGACATCATGTTGCAATCCTTAATGACAAATGACAGGTTAGTAAATGCAGGATCAGGCTGAGCCCACTGATCAATCATCACTAAAAGTCGGACGACCAGATCTGTGCCTTCTGATGTGTGACAGTCCACAGCACACTCGTGAAAATTCATTCCTAGAAAATTGGACCTAAGTCTGGTCAAGTCTCGGAATGTAATACCGTTTATAGGGACAGAAGAGTAAGTTAAAGGACGCATGAAGAAGCAAACAGCCCAACGTTGGACATTCTGTAGGACAAATGACCTGGCTCCCCCAAATGAATGACATGAGAGGAGTGAGAGACAGCAGCCCGATACGTTGATCATGCCCGGACCTTGCTTCAAATGGACAACGGGGTGTTCTCTCAGTGACATGGCGGAAATCAGCAAATGCGATGTTCTAGTTATAATTTAACACTAGTTTCTAGTTGGGATTAGCTAGAGCATTCCAGTTCGTAAACTGTAATATAAATTTAGGAAATACTAATCCGAGGTATGTCATCATCATTCCCTATAACGACTTCCCCTCCACTGGAGTTCCTGCTGTCCAGCCGTGCACTAGACTTCTCTGTCGAGGGGACAGGCATCTCTAGCATGCATGACTGAAACTTGAACTTGATGTCTCGTTTCCCCTAAACCTGTTGTCCTCCCCGTCCCCATATTTCCTATCTTGGAAATGCCTTCTACCATCTATCTAGTCACCCTCACCAGGCGCCCAAAGACCGCTCTTTACCTTGGATGCGAGCAGTCCCTCGGTCTCGCCGTTTCTTTCTGAAGTGACTAAGTTTCACTGTTTGATGCCTTTACTCCTTTGCTTCCACTGTTTTCTCTGCAGAGACTCTCCTCATCCCTTGCCTCCTGACCTAAGTGCAAGCGTCAGCTCCAAGACTGCTTAGCTGATGTTAAGTAGTGCTTTCCTATCACTCCGTGTCCGTTTTTGTCACTGCGCTGATCACACTATTGCACAAGACCACTTTTTGGTACCTTTACTCATTTCTGCTATGTGTGAAATAAACATGACTAGAGAATAAATACTATTCTAACAACACTTCCTCTTTGGATAGATGTTTTCAGGGGCTTTGTGCTAAGGGCCCTTGAAGATGGAACAAAACACTTAGTGTTCTGCCTTTTGTTCAGCCATCACACGAAGAAGTTGAGCATCAGGTAATCCAGACAGCAGCTCTACTTTCCAACAATGAACTAAGTAGAGTTAATTGTGCAGGTCCGGGAAGCCAGCCCAGCATCACATGCTGCCATAGGTGAGCTCTGTGTCAACGAGTCAGATTAACTACAATACTGCTTTATGAAATAATGGCATTAAAAACGAACCCTTATATGTTGCTAAAAGATTAAACTTGAAGGAAAAAGCAAGCATACAGAGCATATTTTCACATACAGAGCATACAGAAAGTATTTTTTATTACTCTGCACCATGCTCGGGAACAGTATGTTCAAGTCCAACAGAAGAGAATTCACTGACAGCCAGAATTCACTGACAGGATGAAACATTCAAATTTCTTCATTGAAAGTTCAAAAGTTCAAAACTATAGACATCTAGTAGACTAGACTCCTATACTGGAACCCTGTCAAAGCTAGGCTTTGGTCTCTTAGAAGGGTCTCTTCTGTCGGAACCGGTTTCCCCGCAAGCTCAGCAGGTTCTGGAGCTGGTCACCACATTGCTCGCTGGACCCCAGACAGCTGTCCATGGTCGGCCAAGTGCCGGAAGACGATACGACTGAGCCTCCAGCGCCGCTTCACGCCACGTGAACGGGACGTCATCACACACCGATTTCTGATCCTCACAGGACAGCTGTCCCGGGGGAGGGCAGCAATTTCTTCGTCAGCCACTTCCTAAGGGAAGTCACAACATCAGTGCTTAGAGGAAGAGAGCAATGGGCAGATTTCATTAGTGAAGCCAGAGTTGGGCCACAGAATCACCTAGACACCGCAGTGCACCTTAACCCCCAGGCAGAAACAAATAGACCAGATGAAGGACATGGTGGACGTGCCCTCGATATGATGTTTTAAAGTTTAATTGAAATCTAGCATAGATAAATGAATCCATAAACCGTAACTGTAAAGCTCAGTAATTTTTCACAAACAGAACATGGTGTAACCAGCAACTAGATTAAGAAACATTATCAGCACCCCAGGCCCTACTTGTGCTTCCTGGCTAACAGCCACCCTGATTACTAACACCACAGATGAGTTTTCCTTGTTTGGAATTTTATATAAATGTAACTGCAGAGTATGTATTCTTTTTTATTCATTTCTGTTTGGCTTCCATTCACCAATATGCTTGTGAGATTCATCCATACTGTTCCATGTGTTGTAATTTGTTCATTCTCATCGGTAATTTTCATAGTGTGAATATACCATAATTAATTTACCCATTCCACAGTTGATGAACATCTGGGTGTTTCTAGTTTTGAACTATTATAAATAGGACTGCTATATACATTCTTGTTGAAGTCATTTGGAAAACATGTGAATACATTTCTGTTGTCTCCCCATATGGTTTTCCCCCAGCTTTACTGAGATAATTGACGTGAACATTGTGTAAGTTTAAGGTATAGTGATGACTAGATACATGTGTATATTGTGAAATAGTTACCATAGTAAGGTTAACACCTGTCACCCCACATAATTAACATTTAAGATTTACTCGTAGCAACTTTTAAGTATATAACATCATATCATTAATTATGGTCACGGTGCTGTCCATTAGATCCCCAGAACTTACTCATCTTATAACTGGATATTTGTACCCTTTGATCAACATATCCCATGTACCCCCACCCCTAGCCTCTGGTAACCACCATTCTACTGTTTCTATGAGTTCTGCTTATTTAGACCCCACATATAAGTGAGATCACAGTATTTGCCTTTCTCTGACTTATTTCACTCAGCATAATGCCCTCAAGGTATATCCATGTTATTGCAAAAGACAAGATTTCCTTCTTTTTCATGGCAGCTGTTGCACTGTGTGGGTGCGTACATTTATATATATATATACAGCAAATATTTTCTCCCATTCTGCAGGCTGCCTTTTCGTGCTGTTTCTTCTGCGGTGGAGAGCTTTTGGTTTGATGTAGTCCCACTTGTCTGTTTTTGCTTTTGTTGCTTGCGCTTTTGGTGTCATACCTAAAAAATTGTTGCCAAGACCAATGTCAAGGAGCTTTTTCCTTATGTTTTCTTCTAGGAGTTTTACGTTTTCAGGTCTTACTTTTACGTAAGTCTTTGATCCATTTCAAACTCATTTTTGTGAGTAGTGTAAGATATGAGTCCAATTTCATTCTTTTGCTTGTGAACATCCAGTTTTCTCAACACCATTTATTGAAGAAACTATCCTTTCCCCATGAGTATTTTTGGTTCCCGTCAAATATTTTTTGACCATATACGTGTGAGTTTATTTCTGGGCTCTCGATTATTTCACTAGTCTACGTGTTTCTGTGCCAGTACCACACTGTTTTATTATAGCTTTGTAATAGCTTAAAATCAGGAAGTGTGATGCATTCAGCTTTGTTCTTTCTCAGGATAGATTTGGCTATTTGGGGGTCTTTGGAAGTTCCATATGAATTTGAGGATTACTTTTTCTATTTCTGTGAAAAATGCCATCGGAATTTTGATGGGGATCGCACAGAATCTATAGATGGCTTTGCGTAGAACTGCCATTTTAACAATTCTCCTGACCTGTGAACACAGGATTTCTATTTATGTCTTCTTCAGTTTCTTTCATTGATATCATAGTTTTCAGTGTACAGATCTTTCACCTTCTTAAATTTATTCCTAGGTATTTAATTGGTTTTAATACTATTCTAAATGGGATTCTTTTTCAGGTAGTTTGTTGTTAGTATAGAAACACAACTTGTGTAAAGTTAGGTTATTTCCCACATGACTTTTGAATCATGAAAATTTGAAACTTCTGGGCAGAAGATGAAGTAGGAGGAAATGCGGTTAAGGCTGGAAAGGGAGGAGGAGTAGGATCCCACAGAGACCTGACTGATGGAGAGGCAAAGATGAGTGGTCACATGAGATTTACATATTTAAAAGGTCATTTGTGATGTAGAGAATGAATCTGGTGAAGGCAAAGCTGGTTCAGGGGAAAAAAATAGAGATTACTTGCACCAAGGTTTTGTCATTTGAGATTTATTGTTATGTATGTGCTTAAGAGTGTGTGTGTGTGTGTGTGTCCACTTTAATCTAAAAAGTATTACTGACCTTGTGCTAGACTGGTGGAAGCAAACAACTTGAACACATTAAAAGTACATAAATTAAATGAGAAAACGCATATGAAAGCCACTAAATTAACAAGCATTGAATAAGTTGATCTCCAAAAGCTTGTACATGTGTTGCTATTAAGAAATACTTAGAGAATGACAGAAAACAACCCAATTAAGTCGATGAATAGTAGACAGTAAGTGCGACAGGAGGAACTGGAGAGGAGGATGACAGGGCTGGAAGGATGAAGTAAAGTTTCATGGAGGCAGACCTTGAATAGCTGCAGATTATTTACGTACGTACATAATATGTATGTGTGTGTGTGTGTATGGACACCTACCTCTCCTTATTCAAGTTGAGGAGAAAGTAAATCTAAATGGAAGGCCACCTCAGCACACAGGGGTGGGCAAAGGAGTCAGACAGACAGGCCAGGAATGGCCCTGGGTGAGGAACACATGGCCCATGCATCAGCAAAGCCTTCCAGTGCCACGGAAAGACTGGGAGGAAGTAGGGCGGGGAGATCCGAGGTCAGAATGACTGCCCAATTTCTGTGTGGTTACCATGACTCAGTACTTTCTAAGGAGCACCTGATGAAATGGTTAAAAGGCCAGTTAGGAATGAATAATTGTCTTTAATCTGAAACTCACCAAAATCAGTTTCAAGGGTATTCATTTGTGTTGACTGGGAGTATGATCATATTCTCTAGAAATTATGTTGATAGTAAGTCACAACAAACAGTATTAGAAGTGATCTGATCTGAGTTAATGATCTTGGGTAGATAAGGACTCAGCTAACCTGAAGGTCTTTTGGCAGAACGGTATTCTTCCTGAGCGAATTGATCCGTAGCCTCTCATCTGCATATTCATAGGCCATTTTCCGTCTCTTCACATCACGCAACATTTTCCAGTCTACATAGTAACCTCGAACTTGACCTGAAGCCGATGAAGGAACCATCTAAAGGAGACAAGGAGCAAGTGAAGGGTAGTTAGTCCTAGGCTTTGCCAGTGTCCCCATTGTGCGATCTTCTTTTAGTCACTACTTATGACCAAATTAAAAAATAATAATTTGGGATCACTTTAATAATTTTAAATAATACACTTCTTAATTCAGAATAAATAACTTTTAGGGATGTACATTAAGCCAAAATGGTGGTAATTAACACAATGCCAATAATGTGTTGGAAGGTGAATTATTTTCTGAGCTGTTTAATCATTCTGTTTGACCTTTACTCAGACTAACAGTTACCTGGTTCAAAATTTTAAAAAGTATAAAAAGACATGCAATGGTGTCTCCCTCCCACCTCATCTTTCACTTGCCCAGTGACCTCCCGGCACCTACAAAGGTGTCCACTGTTACTAGTTTCTTCCAGAGGGTTTTGTCTATACAAATCTATGTATGCACTCCCTCTCCCACGTTTCATCCTTTCTCCCTTTATTCGCTTTTAACAATATATCTTGGCGATCCTTCCATATCCATATGTTAAAAAGCATCCTCATCTTTAGGTTGCATGATATTCCGCTGTATGGATGCGATGGGGTTCAAGACATACTACCTCAAAATATGGCACCTTGGCACATTGACTATTTTGAGCAAAAGAATTTGAAAAAATGGCAGGTGCAGAAAGGACCTTCTGACCTTCCTTAGCAGGTCATAAGATCCTTGTGTGAGGGGGGCGGCGAGGAGCATCTTTATCTCTGAAGAAGAAGAGACACCGACAACAATTGGAACAGGCCTTGCTATCTCTCCCCTAGTTTACACTTAGCTCATACCCTTTGTCTGATCACATTCTCTCATGGCTGTCCGCTCTTCATCACTCAGGTTTAACTGCTTCTTTGGGTCTTCATTTCCTTATGACAGCTCCCGTGTCATGTAAAACTTATAAATGTTATACTTTCCTCCTGCTAATCTGTCTTTTGTTACAGGGGCCCTTCTAAGAACTTAGAAGGGTAGAAGGAAATTATTTTTTCCTCCCCATAGATGCATAATTTATTTAACCTGCAACCTATTGGTGGACAGCTAAACCATACCTCCCTATTCGTCATTACAAACAATGCTGTAGTGAATAAACTCATATAAGTCATTTCATATGTATTCTTATATATCAGCAGAATAAATTCCTGGAAGCAGAATTGCAGGGTCAAATTATCATTGACCTAATATTTCATAGCATGAGTTGTCCAATAATGACAGTAGGCTCCTTATCGTCACAAGTTTACACGGTGATACTCTACAGTTCCGACAGTACAGGCATAGAGAGTATGTAGGCCACTAGAAACTCAAGTTATCTCCCAAACCAGAGCAAACACTACTTGTTAATTTAATTGCAGCTACAGAAAGTAATGATGACTTCCTATAACAGCTGTTTATAGAATATATGTACAGCATTACATAGAATATGTCTCAAAATGAGAATAATATACTGGAAAGCCAGCAGTTTTTCAATTTAATAACAAAATATATGCCCAGCACCTTCAGTGCTAAAGTCTCATGGGGAAATACAACAGTTCTATAATCACCTTTTGGAAATAAGACAAGCATGACTGGCATTTCACATTGATTTGACAAATGACTGTCAAATGAATACCATGGTCACCATGGCTGGAAATAAGTGTCACTGGAAAAGGGGGCTTCAGCAAGGCTTTGAAGAACTGACAAATTTTGATACAGTTAGGTGATGGGCAAGGGGGGAGAAGGTGAAGTTTGCCGAAACCAAAGAAATGAACAAGATATATTCATAAGACCAGGGTAGATCATTCTGGCTAAAAATTTCATGTTGAGGGGCAATGCAAAGTTTGCTTTTACCTATGAAATTGAAAAGTTAAGACAACTTAGAAAACAAAATTAAACATTTTTCCTTCAATTCTTTTTCCAAACTATTCCTAATCAGCTTCCTCTCTACCATTTCCTAACATGTTTCTATTAAAAAACCACCAACCAACCAACCAAAAAAACTTCATTCTTTTCTGAATACACTTTTAAAATTGGCCTCATATTTCTTATGTGAATGTTTAATGTCCTTCGTGCATGTTTCTATTATCGGTATTTTCTTATCGCCTTATAACAGTGCTTCATCTAGTAAGCTTGCCTCTATTCCGTTATGTACACGTCCTATCCTGCTCCTCTTACTCCTCTCCACCTCCAGAACTCTCCCACTGGGCCCTCTTTAACTCATGGTCTACTACCATCAGAATCTTCTAAATCCTCGATTTGTTAACATCCTTCAGATTTTTGCTCTAGCTGGATCTTGTTATCGCCTTATAACAGTGCTTCATCTAGTAAGCTTGCCTCTATTCCGTTATGTACACGTCCTATCTTGCTCCTCTTACTCCTCTCCACCTCCAGAACTCTCCCACTGGGCCCTCTTTAACTCATGGTCTACTACCATCAGAATCTTCTAAATCCTCAATTTGTTAACATCCTTCGGATTTTTGCTCTAGCTGAATCTTGAATCCCTCCTGATAGCTTCCCCTGTAGCTCTTTTTTTCCTCCCACATCCGGGGGAAGAGTTGGAGTAGCTGTATTCCTTGCTCTTTACTGCAGCTTCCAGATCCTCACCCCTCCAGCTATTGAACCATGTTTCGGCCAGTCCCCCTCCTTTGCAGCGAAATATCTTCGAAGACTCGTCTATACTCCTGGTCTGCAATTTCTTTCCTCCCATTCTCTCTTGAACGCTCTCGCCCCCACCACACCACAGAAACTGCTGTAATCAAGGTCCAAACAGCCGGCATCATGCTAAACTCAATAGCCAGTTAGTTTTCAATCCTTTTAACTACCTGTCAGGGTTGAGCAGAGTTTACCACTCCCTGCTCCTTGAAATTCGGTCATTGCCCGCTTCCAGGCGACCACACTCTCCTGGCTTTCCTCCTCCCTCGCTGAGCTCCTTTCAAGTCTCCTTGGCTCGACTCTCTCATCTCGTAACGTTGGGGTCCCTGGGGCTTCAATCCTCGAACCCTTTCTCTCCTCCACCTACACTCAGTTCCTTACAATTTGGAGTCAATTTTCAGCTTTCAACGCTAGTCAGTTATACGTTTACGAATACCAAATTTCCATCAGCAGCTCAGGCCTCCCACGAATCAAGCCAGAGGAGAGAAGTGTGCGGAGGGAGAACCCCTGGGACGAGTCTGCATCGGGCGCTACAGGTGGCAGAGTAGTGGGTGACCCGCGGGACTGGGCATTCGGGGGGAGGAGGAGAGGTGGGAATTGAGGCGCAGTCCTGACCTGCCGGACCGTCCGCAGCAGAAAGCCCAGCATGGAGGCCGCCATGTTGTCCGCCGCGCACGTCAAACCGCCGAAACTTTATTGACACTGCCGAATACTGACGCGGGGGGGCGGGGCCGGGCCTCAGGGGCGGGGCGGAGGGCGGGTCTTTAGCCGGCTCGAAGGAGGGGTTGGTTAGTCATGGGTTTTGCGTTCTCGCGGTCTTTAATGGAACTTGGGCAAATTGCAAAGCCCGGAGGGGATCGTCCATGTCAGTGGAGCAGTCTGATGCTCCTCGGTTGTCGCTCCCTTTCCTTCCGCTTTGGGTTCCCTGTTAAGCTACCTTCGTCCCTACCCACTTCCGTCCTTTCCTCCTAGCCCCGCCCCTAACCTACTACTTCATCTCCACCAGTTTCTCCTCCCTGCTCAAACTGCCCCTCCGTTCAGTGTTAGGGGCCGCTTGTCAGGAACTTGTTATTATTGCCAACTCCTTCCCTGTTGTCTCTCCTGTAGATTTTGCAAATCTCTCCTTTCTACTATAATAATGATAATGACCATGATGATGCTGGCGATGATAAAGGTGGCTCCCATTTGTGTGTGTGTATGTGTGTGTGTATAATTTTAATTATATGTATTCTGTATTGGAGGGAGAGCATTGCCACTTAAAAACTGCTGATCTCCGTCTGTAGTACAGGGAACTTTCAGGTCATCTTTAGAGCAAATGTCCTTGGTCTGGAATGAAACCTTTAAGGGGCCTCTTTTCCTTGTAAGGATGTCAGGCAAGTGTCACCGCCTACCTTCTGGTAGGAGGTTATCAAGGAGTATGTATTAGCTTGGCAAAGCCATCTTAGATTTGTGGACGGATGAAATGAGGAGATACTCGTGTGCTATCTACAACTACAATTTTGAACAGGAGCTTTCTGGAAAGGGAATCTGAATGCAGACTTCTTTCTTCAGAAGTTCAAGTTTATTGGATCAAGTCTAATGGACTGACTGGAGAGGGACTGCCTGAGGCCCATGGTGAGAAAGGATGACATGATGCTGCTATGAATGTGTGTACAGTATCTTAAACAGCATTATTATCTTATGAGCCCCTGTCATGGTAGAATCAGAAAATTCCTGGACCAGTGTCAGGCAAGCTTCTTTTCCTAATTCTAGCCCCTGTAATGCCTTTCTCTCTGTCCCAGTGTTGAGGTCACCTGTAATGAGTTCATGAAATGAGTGAGGCAGCTTTGTGCACAGTGGCTTTTTGCTCCCTTTCTGTAAAACTAGTTCTGAAAGCATCTTTAAACAACAGTAACTTTTTAAAAAATTGTGGTAAAATATAAGAAAATTTACCATCTTAGCCATTTTTAAGTGCCCAGTTCAGTGGCATTAAGCACATTCACACTGTTGTACAACCATCACCACCGTCCTTCTCCAGAACTTGCCTCCCCAAACTGAAACCAAGTACCGATGAAACATTAACTTCCCGTTCCCCCGCACCCCCGGCCCCTGGCAACCACCATTCCGCTTTGTGTCACTATGAATTTGACTACTCTGTGTGCCTCACATCAGTGGAATCGTACACTTGTCCTTTTGTGACTGGCTTTTTTCACTGCAAATGTCTTCAGGGTTCACCCATGTTGTAGCGTGTGTCGGTACCTCATTACTTCTTAGGGTTGAAGAATACACACTCCACTGCACAGATATCGCACACTCTCTCTGTTCTTCTGTCGATGGACACTTGCTTTGCTTCTACCTTTTGGTTATTGTGAATAATGGTGCTATGAATGTGTGTACAGTATCTTAAACAGCATTATTATCTTATTAGGCTGTTTTTCACTTTAAGGGAACAGATTAAAACAATTTAATGGCTGTTAAGATAGGAAGCTTGGGGCTAGTGAGATTAGACTCCAGAGTCTTTAATTAGTTGTCTGGTTTTGTAAAGCAGCCTAAGATTCTTCCCCCAGTGCCCCCGCCTCCATCAGTGTGTAGGG